CCGGCATAACGGCCTCCTCTGAGGTTAATGTTAACATCTTTTTGGACAGAGCAACAGGAAGCATCTGTGTATCTTACCGCAAGCTGAGATGATCCATTCTTTCCCCATTTGAAGTATAAATACTGTTGGTATTACTTAACTGCTCTTGCTTTATCCATTTAAAACACTGAGATATATAAAACATCATGGTAGTAACCTCTGAGAAAACTGAAATGATTCATGACTATATATTTATTTAGTTCTTTACCAGTTGGTCAATATTGATTTTTTTCTCTATAATTTAAAGGATACTTGTATTATGAAACCTATTCTTACAAATCTTTTGTTCTTATGTTCTAGAACCATCTATGGTGACAGCAAAACTCAGGGAGTTTCCACACAAATGGCTATAATGAAAACTATATGTTTTTTCCTCTTACATATTTGCTTTTTACAGGTGACTCTCTTATGTTGTATTTTTTTATTTTTAACCTATAGTTTTCAATATTAAGTTAGTCACTTAAAAATAGATTATGCATACATTTTAAGTGTTTTTAGCAATGAAGAATGCATAACAGAAATATGCTAATAGAAAAATGTAGAATACTTAACACCACTTTCAGATTTTTTAAGCTAGACTGTAACGTGGTCAATTGGAATATAATGCTTGAGGTTTACTGACATAATTAGAATTGTACAGGTATTTTCATCTTGGATTTTTTTAGTGAGACTGACAGAAAGTCCATACTTGCTTCCTCAGAACCCTGCTCATTTAACCTATCTAAAAGCCACATCCTCATTAGCTAAGTCTCAAAAAGACTGTATCCTTAAGAACTCAAAATCTCAAATATTCATTAATTCAACAAATGTTTATGGTATATATTTTGTGCCAGGTACACTGCTCTAGATGCTAAGTGAAAAAAATAGATAAAAAAAAAAAAAAAGGGCAAAAAACTAACCTTAATGGAACTTATAAAGGTAGGATCTGTATAAAAATAAAACATCCCCCAAACAATAATTCTTTTCTCTCTTGCCAGACTTAAGCCACTTGAGGACAGGAGCTACTGTTTCCCCAGTATCCTAACTACAGTGCCTAGCATGCTACAAATGATTCACAGGTACTTCCCAAATAATTAAATAGAAGACCCTTTTTGCTTAAGTACAAATAATGGTTCTTTATTTCCTGCTATATCTGTTTGAACTTTTCTGCTTGGCTTTCAAAGTCCTCTTAATTGGGCCATACCCTAGTTCCTCATTTTCCACCATTTCTTAGCACATAACTCCTGTTGTACTGTAGAAAAGACAGAATCACTCCTGCTTTACCTTATATTATTTCCTCTGCCCTAGATAAATAAAAATTCTCCCCATTTAGAGTCAACAAACACTGATATAGTATCTTCTACGTGCCAGGACTGTGCTAGAGGTTTTCACACATTTTCTTGAATCTACACAACCACTCTCATTGATTTTTAGGAGTGAAAGAGGCTCAGAGTTCTGAGAGCAGCCTAGGAGCTCTCAGCCACTGAGTCAGGACCTGGATTTCCTCCAACAACCCAAAGCAGGCTACTCTCCTCACTCTGCCCCTTCCGTTCCCTATTATGAGCCCTTGCTTCTTCTCCCAAAGCTTCCTGCATGTTATTTATCTTTGCAACTAAACGGTAAGCTCCCGGTGTACAACTGTGTATTTTATTTTCTTTTACTTTCCCACACAGCCTAACTCAGTACTTTGCCCATGGAGCACTCAAGAAATACTTCACTTACTGAAAGAAGGCTAACCACTTGGGTTGAGTCTCCCATTTTCAACTGTTACAGAGTTAACCTTTGCAACATATTCTGTCTTTTGAATTAAGCTCTGTATGGTTAGAACTTGCTGTGTGAAAAAATACTTCCTTTTAGTCTAAAATCATTTGCGATTCAAGTTATCTTTGGTTTACAGGTAAACAATTTAATGTTCAGCTGATCTACTTCCTTCAATGACTAATCACAACACTGTTCATTTTATTTTTCTAAGCAGAGAAGTCCTAGCATTTCCAGGTTTTCTTTTATTCTTCGGACCACACAATGGCTCCTTTGGGTCTTTGAGGTATGGCAAGCTGAACTGCATGGACAAGTTGCATTTTGACGAGATGACCTATCCTGAGTCACATGTTCTCATCAGCCAGCAAACTGGCCACAGACACATTTAACTTGGCCAGCAGTTAAAAAAAAATAAGAAACAATATTTTTAAGCCCAGTAGTCTCAAGTTCCTCTCAGGCCGCACCATTTTTATAGTCTTCAAAGGCCAGTTTAGACCTTTCTCCTAAGCCAGACTGTAAAGCCAATGATGACAGGGGCTGTCTGTCTTGTTTACTACTTCGCCACTGCAGGACACTACAAATTTCAGCCTTATAACATACAGCAGTAGCTCTTTAACTTTTCCCTCAATTCATAAGAAAAATATACAGACATGCATATGTAACTGAAGGACTTTGGACATTTTCTATTGTGTATCATTCTATTCTTTTTAGTAGGTCGTAAACTGCTAAACTGATACAAGTTCCCTGTTTCAAACACACTATGCCACAGAGTTGTGGTGAGGTTTCTTGCCACTGTATTATCTAGTATTCCTAAGGAGACCCCTGTAATCATTTTCTGTTAAAACCAAGTGCTAGAGAAATGCCTAGCAGTCTGGCACTTAGCTGAGGGAATAAATGCTTATGGTTTTGGTTGGCTGTGATCCTGTTCTTACTGTGAAAATATTTAGTTCAATCATATTTTTAAAAATTAAACTCCCATGTACTCAAGAGCACTAATAACTTCAATCAAAGAGAAATCTCACAAAAATCATGCAAGAAAATAGTAAATATATAAATAGTTATAATTAATTTGATATTTATTCTTTAATACTATAGAAATTGATTCTAGAGCAAGGCCCCTTTTCACAGTTTTCTAATTAAAGTCCTACTTTGATTATAGCCAGTTTCTATGAATTCACTGAAGAGGAAAGAAATACAAATTGACAGTTATGGAGTGGCTGTTATGTGTCAGGTATTATATTACATATGGTCCTATAAATCATCTTATTCAAGCAACTGTGTTAAGAATGAGAGCACTGAGGTTTGAGAGGCTGGGGAACTTGCCCCAGTTTGCACAGCTAGTAAATATATATTAGCTCTGGGATTCATATATGATTTTGTCATCTAAACCCCACACTTTGCCTACTACCTAACACTGTATGTGTATTTTAAAACAATAAACTAGTATCTGTGCCATAATGCTTTATACATTATAATGTTAGCTGGAAATACGTGTGTCAAACATATACTATTCCCTTTGTGGGATGACTTTTTTTTTTTGCAGATATGAATTCATACTTCTTCTTATGTTTCATTGTCAGAAAAGTCTTCAATACCTCATATTGAAATATAAATTCATTTATCTTTCTTTAAAATGGCTAATGAAAGAGGCATTAACAGGTCACAATATTCTCCTGCTGTGAATTCTGTATGTACTCTTCCTATACCCCCATTTTATATTTTTTAAGATCTAGATTGAGTCTGAGGAATACCAAAATCTCAACTTAACTTAAAATTCTTTGTTGCAGATTATTAACTGTCTAGCTATTGAACAATATCTTGGGGGGGAAAAAATCAATGGATTGTTTCAGTTTTAATGTAGATACTTGGTGTATCATAATCACAGTCTTCTTTCATCTTTTTCTATGTTGAATTCAACTTCTGACTAGTGCTAAATCCACTATCTTGGTACTGTTTAAATACAAAACAATACAATACTCCCTAACCTTAAGCCATACTGCCTGTAAAGTGTTTATTGGCAAGCAACCAAAGGAGCAGCTGACCTTAACACAGGACTATGTGCTAGAGACCCTGCCTCGTACCTTACATGCACTATGCCATTGAATCCTCAGGACCACACAATTAGGTACCATGATTATTCCGAATTTTACAAACGAGGAAACTGAGAGGTTAAGTAGCTTTCCTAGGGTCACATTACCAAGGAAAATGGTGGAGCCAAGTTTCTAAGCCAGATGGCCTCGACTGGAGATTGAGCTCTTAACCCCTAGGGCCTCTCTTGCACAAGACGAACACACGTGGAAAAAAATACAAAACCTAGAAAACAACTCGAGTTGTTAAAATAAGGTCACTGTCTAATCAGGCTGGCACCAGAAAGCTTCAGGGACAAGATTCTGAGCATGGCATCAAGGATGAGTGGGATTTATCTGGCAGAGATGAGAAGAATGGAGACATCAGGACAGGATTGACCATGGCTTGCTGTATGGGGTAAAAAAACAGCATCAGCCTAAAAGAAGGATGAGGTTGGGTGATTTTTAGTAGAATCTTATCGACTTTGGTCCCCTCATTTCTTTTTCTGGTTTTCCTTAAGAATAAAACAAAATGCAAATACTTACTATAAGATCATATAGCACCCAGATATGCATAGAACAGAAACATCAATGTATACAGTTTAAGTAGTACACTTTTTAGTTACTGATCTTTTTTCCTTCCTGGTGTTACTACAACTGGCCTCACCATTTTATATCTGTTAATCTTCCTTACCTGAATTTAAATCTAGCTATTTGAATTGTGTTAATAGTTATTCCTATTTCAATTGAATGAAAGGATTCCCCACTTCCTCCCCTCAACCCCTCAGCCTTTTCCCAACCTTACTATTGAATTCTGGAAATCTATAACAAATATATGGCAAAGATGTTATAGTACAGGAAGTCCAAGCTTATTAATGGGCTGTGTTCCAGAATAAATTACTTGTTGGGAAGAACCTGGAATTTATTTTCCCATAGAAATAGTTGTTAAGTTCCCAGCGGGTCCACAAAAGCTTGGTTAACCTGAAGTGTGTAGAGAAATGAACAGTCACCTTTGTGTTGATCTCTGCCTATTCTAAGGACTCTATGGATTTCTTCTTACATTTTAGCTAACCACTGCTTTTGGGACACAGTTTTTTCATTATAAATTATGGAAAAAGCTGACTTACACTTACAATTCTATCCAAATCCAATCCTTAATTCTATTTTAGGCTGTTTATTTTTTCTGATCATTACTTAAACTATGACTTCAACCGGAGAGTTATTTTCTTTAGCCTAAGGTCAGGAGTCAATAGAATAGCCCAAGAATGCTAGGGCTTAGGTTATGACATTACCTTCTCTACCTGCAGCATGATGAGAAGGCAGTGAAACAGCACCAGGGCCCTGTCTTGCCCCTGCTGCTGCCAGTGACCATCTGGTTCCTGGAAGATATCTTTTGGCCCTTGCAAGGATTTAAAAGAAATATTTTTTTTTGGTTTCTGATTTGGCATCAGGTAGTAGTTCCCAGGTCTTTGTGCCCGTTGGTTAGGTGTTAGAACTTGAGAGATTACCTGATCATGTGTGTTTTAACTATAGTTGAATTTATATTACAGAAATTTCATTCTTAAATAATCTAAAGCTATGATGTGGAAGTCTGCCAAACACAACGCTTGTCGCAGAAACACTTCCTTGCAGGGCACAGTAACCACAATAAAACCAAAATCTTTGTTTTAGATATTTAGATAGAAACATTACCAACAAATGTTTCTAAAACAAAATGCTTAAAGTGAAAAACATTTGTGTCTATAGCCATCATAATAGTGTGGTTTAAAAAACATTTAGGATCTGTCTAACCCCACTTCTACCTTTTTACCTCCTTGAGTTTTGACACTAGCTAAGGACTCCTGGTATAACATTAGAGCCTGCCTTAGAAATGTTCGAAAAACATTTGTATGATTAGGGAAGATTTATATTCACACGCCTACCCCTCCAAAAAAGAAAAGAAAAAAAAAAAAACCCACTAAATTTATACAACTATGTCTGCTGTCACTGTCTTTTTAAACACTTGGTAGTTTTGTCAGCACATATTTGCCAGTAAAGGAATGGCTTTATTGCTTAAAGACTTCTTATATATTAAACATGCATACATATATCTTTCCCTTTAAGTCTACATAATCTAGAATGAGACTTTTTAAGGATATAGGTGGTATTTTCTTAATAACTTCATTATAGTATTCACAATAAAGTGGTTAATTTTTACAAAATTAAAATCACTATCAAAAGGCAGATCAATTACTTAAGAAAGTAAGGCATACTAACAGAATAAAAACACTACTGCTTCAAGTATCACATAGGTAAAATTATTTTTAAAAAGATCTAGTCATCCACTGACAAGATCTTTTTAAAAATAGCATAATTTTACAACCATAGATAACATTTCTAATTATGCCCGTGCTTAACAACATATACTTTTTTCAGGATCAGGAAGTCTCTCTTATAGTGCATTTCAATTGACAAATACATTTTTTGTATTCCTCAAAACAATGGATAGACAGGTGTTAGACTTCGCAAAGGTGAAATAAGCTACCGGTTGCCACTTATGAATGAAGAGAGCTCCAACTGCTGGCTACTCCAAGTTTGTTTTTGGCAAAGGGCATTTGGCAGGAAGTTAGCATTTCCATATATAGAGAGCACAGAGCTGTAGTAGGCTTCTGGGAAACTCTACAGTAGGAGAATTTGGAATCTAATTGGAAAGTTTTAGGGCCAAGTAGGTTTACAATCACTGAATGTGAAGACAGTTATCTCAACTGTATTTAAAAGGAGAAAGAAAGAGAAAGGAGGAGGAAGAGAGAAAAGAAAGAAAAATAATTTTAGAGCTCTGGGGGGGAATTAAGTGAGAGCACACGCAGAAAAGCGTCCAGTGAGGTTATCAAGATGCATTATGTACTCAATAATGTTAGCCAAATTTGAGCAGTGGGAATTTTAGTGGGCAAACATAGGATTATTTAAGATTAATTATGTCAGTAGTTTTGTTAGCACCTGCAGCTTCTAAGAATTATAGACATAGCACCTGAAATAAGTTCAATTATCAACTGAAATAAACACTAATCAAATTCACTAGTATTGCAAATATAATGAGATTTCTTTCTTGGTTGGGCTATAATTCCCCAAGTCTGGGCTACTTAGCGCAGCTGGTAGATAAACATCATGGATTATAGCCATGTTCAAGTCAAGCTTTATAAAGAGAAGACAGTGAAATGCTAAGATTAGGCACCACATCCCTATCCCTAGATACATGTCATGCAAATAAGTTTGTTGGTCACAAAAAAGGGACTGGATAAAAGGGTGCAGCCAGCTTAGAGCAAGCACATCTTAATTTCTCGAAAAATTCAAAGCCTATCTATAAAGTCATGACATATATAAGGAACAAGTTCGAAAACACGTTTTTCAAGTCCAGTAGAGTTCTCCGTTAAGGGAACTAATTTCCTTGTTATAACCAGCATGTTTGATCTCCAAATGTTTTTTAAAAATTGTAAATAGAACATAACTTCACAACTTAAGTTTCGAAGATGGTAAGAATAAATTTTACTTTAATTTTTTCTAAAGAGGAAAAAAAACCCACAAAAAGAAAATCTACACTATTTAAGTACTGTATTCAAATTCAGACGATAAAAATGTGGGTCAGAATAAATATAATATCTGAACTTGCTTTAACATTATGGGAATTTCTAAATTTGAAAGTTCAAAAAATAAACATTTTGAAGTGGAGTTATCAGTTCTTTTCAAAATGCTCTGTAATAAATTTTAAATGAAAGAAATTCAATATTCTACTGATTTAAGGCACCAGTATTACAAATTAATTCCCACTAGGTTAGCCAACATGTATCAGAAAAATAATTTCCTAAGATTCAATTCATCATTCCTGCAGAACATACAAAAAGGTCCTCTGGTCATGTTCTAGTATTCTCTTTCTCACAAAAACTAAAAATATCTTGCAATTTATTCTCCTTCAGTAAGAGTTCTACGGCAATCGGTGCAAGTGGGCACCTTTCTCACCCCTGTGCTACCTCAGCACTGTGTAACTTTGATCCCATTTATCTACTAAGATTTGCTCATTAAAAAAGATTAATGCCATCCACTGTAATATATTAAAAAGTACTTTTTACAGGCTGGCAGCACACTGGAAGTTCTGAACCAACCACATTTCAACCCTAACAAAACGACGTATTTCTCAATTCTGTGACACAACGAAGTGGACAGCAACATGTGTAACGCACCAAAGATCTAAAACTTAAAAAACCTAAATAAATTAAATGCCCAGACAGAAAATTCTTAATAAGCCATCTTACTTAAAATTGAAAGCTGTCCTTAAAATCTATTTCCAGTTTTACAGTAACGTTTCTTCGTGGGCAGACCACAACAGAATTAGGATTATTTCCAGAAACGTGGTCAGTTATACCTAAGTTGTATTTTACTCCCCCAGTGATCTCTGCGCCTTTATTTGCGCTGTGAAAAATAAACAGCTGTATCATGTCTTTCTGGGCCATCAATAGGTTTTATTTACATTGTTTTGAGAAAAGGAGACAAAAAGACATCCCTTTATAATTGTCTTTCAGCAATCTGTTTTGAGAGAAATGTGTAACACACAATTTTATACATAATATAAGGAAACATAAATATCTATATATACAAAAACAGACATATAAATAGACAAAGATAAAGTGGCTGTGAAGTCTCTTAAAGTATAAATTTATAAATTGACCGCCTGACACATAACTTAGGTCTGTAATGGAGAAAAATCATTGAGTGCAAAAAACCACGAAAACATCACTGTCACTAACAGAGAAAAAATTAAATAGAAAACAAAAAACAATAATCACCGGAAAACCTGGGTCTTGTAAAGATTTTTTTCCATCAGAAGATGCAGAAACATTTTTCCCCCTGATGCAAATGAAAACGTTTCTCAAGCACCCCCAGCTTCTTCCCTGCTTTTTCCCCCAGGCGCCGGTGTAGACGGCCGGTGTGGACTTTTTTCCAAAGATGAGAAGTAGAAATTTGTACTTTATCGGGAGCGGGTGCACTTTTCCCCCTCGCCCCCCTTTCCTCTGCCTCCAAGATGGTAGGAAAGTTGTCGTTTCGGAGGGCAGAGGAGCGGCTCTCTGGTGTTATGTCCTCGCAGTGCCTGTAGTGGTGCTGTAGGAGGCTGCTGCCTCTTCTTGTGCAGCCCCGGCAGCCCTGCCTTCTTGGCTGGAGAGTATATTCAGGGATTTCCCCTTAATAATCACCGACCCTGGGAGCACTTTTTAGTTTCCAAAATAAAAATATGATCCTCACCCCTCTTGCCTGACAGGGAAAGGCTCTCGCTGGAGCCCAGGGGGGAGCAGTAGCAGCGGCAGCCGAGCTTCCTAGTCCATTGCCAGCGCCTCTCACTCTGATCTGTCAGCCCAGCCGAGGGAAAAG